CAGTGTGTGTATCGCAGTGTGTATATCGCAGTGTGTATATCGCAGTGTGTTTATCGCAGTGTGTTTATCGCAGTGTGTTTATCGCAGTGTGTATATCGCAGTGTGTATATCGCAGTGTGTTTATCGCAGTGTGTATATCGCAGTGTGTATATCGCAGTGTGTATATCGCAGTGTGTATATCGCAGTGTGTATATCGCAGTGTACATATCGCAGTGTGTTTATCACAGTGTGTGTATCGCAGTGTGCATATCACAGTATGTATATCGCAGTGTGTTTATCGCAGTGTGTATATCGCAGTGTGTTTATCGCAGTGTGTATTTCGCAGTGTGTTTAGAGCAGTGTGTATATCGCAGTGTGTATATCACAGTGTGTTTAGAGCAGTGTGTATATCGCAGTGTGTATATCGCAGTGTGTATATCGCAGTGTGTATTTCGCAGTGTGTTTAGAGCAGTGTGTATATCGCAGTGTACATATCGCAGTGTGTGTATCGCAGTGTGTGTATCGCAGTGTGTGTACCGCAGTGTGTGTACCGCAGTGTGTTTATCGCAGTGTGTTTATCGCAGTGTGTTTATCGCAGTGTGTTTAGAGCAGTGTGTTTATCGCAGTGTGTGTATCGCATTGTGCGTATCGCAGTGTGCGTATCGCAGCAGTGTGTTTATCGCAGTGTGTATATCGCAGTGTGTGTATCGCAGCAGTGTGTTTATCGCAGTGTGTATATCGCAGTGTGTTTAACGCAGTGTGTTTATCACAGCAGTGTGTTTAGAGCAGTGTGTTTAGAGCAGTGTGTTTAGAGCAGTGTGTATATCGCAGCAGTGTGTTTATCACAGCAGTGTGTTTAGAGGAGTGTGTTTAGAGCAGTGTGTATATCGCAGCAGTGTGTTTATCACAGCAGTGTGTTTAGAGCAGTGTGTATATCGCAGCAGTGTGTTTATAACAGCAGTGTGTTTATCACAGCAGTGTGTTTAGAGCAGTGTGTTTAGAGCAGTGTGTATATCGCAGCAGTGTGTTTATCACAGCAGTGTGTTTATCACAGCAGTGTGTTTAGAGCAGTGTGTTTAGAGGAGTGTGTTTAGAGCAGTGTGTATATCGCAGCAGTGTGTTTATCACAGCAGTGTGTTTAGAGCAGTGTGTATATCGCAGTGTGCATATAGCAGTGTGCATATCGCATTGTGCATATTGCAGTGTGTTTATCGCAGCAGTGTGTGTTTATCGCAGCAGTGTGTTTATCGCAGTGTGTTTAGCGCAGTTTGTATATCACATTGTGTATATTGCATTGTGTATATCGTATTGTGTTTATCGCAGTGTGTATATCGTATTGTGTTTATCGCAGTGTGTATATCGTATTGTGTTTATCGCAGTGTGTATATCGTATTGTGTTTATCGCAGTGTGTATATCGCAGTGTGAATATCGCAGTGTTTATATCACAGTGTGAATATCGCAGTGTTTATATCGCAGTGTGTATATCACAATGTTTATATCGTAGTGTTCATCTCAGTGTTTATTAGTGATGTATTTGTCCTGCAGCACAGAGTCATACTGAGCAGGAGCTGCATGTGTCAGTGTGTGTTACATTGCACACTCTGCAGAGTCCTGTGTGTGTGTGTGTGTGCGTGTCTGCAGTGAGGGCTGCTGAATGGCTGTGTTTAAATGTGTTAATCGTGTTGCGTCTGCTGCAGACAGACAAATTGCTTGTCTTGTGCGTCATGTGTTTAGACGTGGTATTACAATGCTGCTCATCTAATGTTTACATTTTCAATACTTCTAGTTTTTGCTAATTTAAATCCACTTCATGTGTACATTCCAACAGCAAACACACATACTTAGCAGAATATCAGACTCTAGCATTGCTTTTCAGCTAAACAAATATGTTTTCTTGCCATTTTACTAAATATCTGCAAACATATTATGGTATTTCTTATTATTTCTATTTAATTATTTATACAATGAAGACTACGACTATATAAAGTGTTATTTTACGTATTATTATTGAATTCCGGTAAGGCAATACTGTTAGATTACACAGAAAGCCATAAAACAGGCTTTATTTAGTTTGTTCTGTTGTACTCATCTTTGTTTATTACATGTTATGCAGAAACTCCACGCCAATATTAACCCCAATCTCTCAAAAATTATGAATTATTTCCAAATAGAGTTAAGTTGTCTTCATATTCAAAAAACTAAAATATTGCAATGTCACTTTTCTCCAATATGCAATGCAGTACTCATAATTTATAGCATAATATAATATCAAAACTCATTATATCACCAGTTTTGGCATGTTTTCGACTGCGCTCTGATTTGCAGGTATGTTGTTTGTGTTGTAGAAAGCAGATCTAAGAGCAGCTCCAGATCCAGTGACGGATCCGTGTGTCATGCAATCCGAGCACCGCAGATCCGCTTACGCTTTTCTGACAAACCCAGGAGAGGTCGACTCTCCATCAAGACCAAAATTATCTTGTCTGACACCGTTATCATAGCTTAGCATTTTACATTAGCTTTTACTTTATTTGTATTTTTAAATGTGCGATTAAATTACAGTTTAGATTTAGTTTGTTTCATTAATGGTCGTTTTTCATTTTTATTTTTTTATTTATGAATTTTTGTTTTGTTTTGTTTGATTGTGTGTGTTGTTTTGTTTCTTTCTATTTCTTTGTCTATTTGTTTTTGTTTTTATGTTTGTTTGTTTTTGTTTAGATGTTTGCGTGTGTGTGTGTGTGTGTGTGCGTTTGCGTGTCTGTGTGTCTTAATTGTGTTTGTTCTGTATTGCTTGTTTGCGTTTGTTTGCTTGATTGTTAGTTTTATGTTTATTTATTTAGTTTCGTTTTTGCTTGTTTGTTTTTTTACATTTTTGTTAGTTTAATTTTGTGTGTGTTTGTTTTTTGTGTTTATGCTTGCTTTTTGTTTGTTTTCGTTTGGTTGTTTGTGTTTGTTTGTTTTATTTCTGTTTGTTTGGTTTGTTTGCTTATTTGTTTTATAATTTTTTGTTAGTTTTTGTTTGGTTGTGGGTTTTGTTTTTGTTTGTTTTATTTGTGTTTGTTTGCTTGTTTGTTTCTGTTTTTTGTGTTTGTTATGTTTGCTTTTTTTGTTTGGTTGTGTTTGTTTTATTTGTCTTTTTTTGCTTGATTGTGTTTACTTGTTTGTTAGTTGTTGTTAGTTTTTGTTTGCTTATTTTTTGTTTTAGTTTGTTTTTGTTTTTTGTGTTTAGTATATGTTTGTGAGTGTGTGTGTGTGTGTTTGTTTCTTTGTTTGTGTGTGTTTGTTTTTTTATATGGTGTTTGTTTGTTTGGTTTGTTTTGCTTGCTTGTGTTTGTTTGCTTGTTTGTTTTAGTTTTTGTTTGTTCATTTTTGTTTGCTTGGTTTTTTGTTTGTGTTTTTTATATGTTTGCTTTTTGTTTGTTGTTTTTGTTTGGTTGTGTGTGTGTTTGTTTCCTTCTTTGTTTGAGTGTTTGTTTGTTTTATTTGTGTTTGTTTGGTTTGTTTTGCTTGCTTGTGTTTGTTTGCTTGTTTGTTTTAGTTTTTTGTTTGTTTTTGATAGTTTTTTTAGTTTTCTTTGTTTTTGTTTGCATGTTTTTTGTTTGCGTTTGTTTTTGTCTTTTATGTTTGTTGTTTCCTTTTTTGTTTGTTTGTTTTATTTGTGTTTGTTTGGTTTTGCTTGATTGTGTTTGCTTGTTTGTTAGTTGTAGTTTTAGTTTTGTTTGCTTATTTTTGTTTTAGTTTGTGTTTGCTTTTGTTTTTTGAGTTTGGAATATGTTTGCTTGTGTTTGTTTGTTTGTTTGTTTGTTTTTGTTTGTTTGGCAGGAAAGCAGGCAGGGTCAGTGTACATTATTGAACATTGCTGCAAATGCACTAGAATTAGCCAAAAATCCCTCATCCATTGTCCCTAGACAGATGGTAAAATCGTCTCCCTATAAACAATACGAAAAAATATATAAATAACAAATCAAAGTGTGTGTGTGTGTGTGTGTGTGTGTGTATGTGTGTGTGTGTGTTTGTGTTAGTGAGAGAGGTGAAAGCCTATGGTGAACTTCAAAGCATGTAGAGGTAACAGGGTTCATGTGCTGTAAGTAGGACTCAGAGTTAAACATTTTTTAAAAGCCTGAGAACGAGGGGGAAGTGAAAAAACATGTTTGGTTTTCTTTCTTTTTTTTTTTAAATAACTTAATGAAAACCACATGAGTTCATTTATTAATTCGGGTGAGTAACTCTTAAAGCTGTTAATGGCATGAATGGATTTAAAACAGCGAAACTGCCAATGATATGAATGGTAAAGTGTGTGTTCCGTTACACAAGACGGGCGAGCTATAGTAGGGCTAAACACAAGATAGTATCACTGTACCACAGACATATAAATACATCTGTAACTCTGGGTGCAGCCTGCCAGGTCCCGAAAAAAAGAAAGTGTGTGCAATTTTTAAAGGATGTCAAAGAGGTTATGAGTTGCAAAATTCGACTCACGTTGAATTCAACTTGTATGTTAATGTGAGCTTGACTACTTAAGGAGCATTAAGAACAGTGAGCATATTTAAAGGCACGAGAGAGTTATAAAACCACATACTAGGTGCCAAAACCTCATAAAATAAGCCTGAATAGTATTCTCATTATTTTGCTCCGACTCAAACA